TTTTCAAAGAATAAGGTATAACCCTTTATCGCTTCTTCAATATCCCAATGCCGCACTTGTCCGGGGCTGGTAAAAATGATGGTGCCGGGACTGATCGCCATTTTGTGATCGTCCAATGAAAAAACACCTTTACCCTGCTCTATAAATAGAATTTCATAAAAACTAAGCTGATGTAAGGTAGAATCACGCACATAGTGATTTAGCATTTCCACCCGACCAATATCCAGCAACAGCTCCCTCCCGTATTTATTGGGTAGAAAATGGTAGGTTTTGACCTTCGCCGTTTGTGCTTTTTCCTTTTTCATTTATACTTTAACCTGTAGATCAAATCAAAGATGTGTTTGTTGACCTTTATACTTCAAAGTCCAGTGCATATTTATCGTAAAAGTAATGCTTAAACTCCGATTTTGTGATATCCAATGGTAAGACATCTGATAAAATCAACATGGGGAAACCAAAAAAGCGGTTATATTTGGTTATATAAAGCGTTTGAAATGAAAGTTCATCAATTTCTTCCGTCCGATGTACTTAAGCCTTTTGTAAGCCGCTTCCTGGTTACAGAAAGTGAAGGTGATTTAACCCGTCAGCTCCTGCCTGGCACTGCACCCGTTATGGCATTGCGTTTTAAAGGCGCGATATATCTCAACGATACTAATCTGGGCTTTGGCATTACAGGTATATGTAGAGTTGCGCGGACAGTGCATTATACCTCTGGCTCGGCCGTATTGCTCGTACTTTTCAAGGAAGCTGGCGCCGCAGCATTCATAAGCATGCCCTTAAATGAGTTCTCAGGTCTAACTGCAAATCTTGACAACGTATTTCCTGCCCAACAGGTTCAACGACTTGAAGAAAGTCTGGATATGGCTCAAACGCATGCCCAGAGGATTGCCATGGTCGAAAACTTCCTGATCACACAACTCAAAACAAACGATAAAGACCCCATGATCAGTAAGGCTATAGATATGATCAAATCCAGTAAGGGCAATTACAAAATAAAAGATCTTGCCGTTGCGCTGAACATCAATATCGATTCTTTTGAAAAGCGCTTCCGTACGCAGGCAGGCATTTCTCCAAAACACTTCTCCTCCATCGTCAGGATTCAATCTGTCATCAGCACTTATCAGCCGCATCAAAACCTTACCGCAATTTCCATGGAAACCGGTTTCTTTGATCAGGCTCATTTCAACAGGGATTTCAAGATATTTACAGGCGAAAGCCCCGGTCTGTTCTTTAAAAAAGGCGTACCTAAATGGTGAGTTCAGAAAGCCGGTAAAACTTGATTTTATACAATTTTTGATTTCCCGTGCTACATAATTTTGTCTTATTAAATTATCAGCACATGAAACATTTACCTTTAATTATCGCAATGACCAGCTCGCTCCTATCTCAGGCAGTCGAAAAAAAACACGTTACAGTACTCGGAAAAGATATGGCCTATATCGAAACCGGAACTGGTGATCCTATTGTATTTCTACATGGAAACCCCACCTCCTCCTATGTGTGGAGAAACATCATTCCGTATGTATCGCAGTTAGGGCGCTGCATTGCTCCTGATCTAATCGGAATGGGCGATTCGGAAAAGATTTCAGATCCAAAATCACATACGTTCGCCGAAAACAGCCGCTATCTGGATGCTTTTTATGAAAAGCTTGGGCTTAAAAAGAAAATAACGTTTGTCGTGCATGACTGGGGTTCGGCATTGGCATTCGACTGGGCAAGCAGACATCCTGAAGCCGTTAAAGGGATTGCTTTTATGGAATCTATTACCGTTCCCTATAAATGGGAACAGATGCCTCCAAAAGGCAAAGAGATCTTTCAGGCGTTACGCTCCTCTGCAGGAGAGAAAATGGTACTCGAACAAAATTCATTTCTTGAAGTCAACATTCCATTATCGCACCTCATCCCGCTGACAAAAGAGGAGCATGATGAATATCGCAGACCTTTTCTTGTACCTGGAGAATCACGCCGGCCTATGCTCTCCTGGGCGCGTCAACTCCCCTTTTATGGAGAACCCAGCGCATTTACCGCTGTGGCCAGCAGGTATACCGCATGGTTAAAGAAAACCAGGGTACCAAAACTGTACATTGAAGCCGACCCGGGAATGAGTTCTCCTGATGCAAAGCAGTTTTGTAACAGT